TATTTTATACAAATTTCAATTTTTTTCTCTATGTAGTTGTTTCTCTTTGATATATTTGCTACTATAGTTTTTAAAAAAACGTTTGCCATAATCCATGCTTTAATTTTTGTAATTTTACACAATAATTAAAAATTTTTATAAAAAATATGTATTAAACAAAAATAATAAATGTATTTTCTATCATATGAGATATGTATAACAATGTATTGAACATTTGAAACTATTGAAAAAGTTTTGTAAATACAAGCTATTCAAAAATTTATGTTGTTGATGTTAACAATTTTATAATAACATAATTGATCCATAGATTATTATCACTCATGTGAACAGTTCAACATATATTAGAAGCTGACTCTATTATTATATAGTATTTATTTATCATTACTGTTCTTGTATTAGTTATTATTTTCATTTTCTCTTAATTTCTAGCTTTGAAGAGAATTTAATTGCTCACAATAATTATTCAAAGAAGTTACAACATGATTCTTGGAATGGAAGACCATATAAGAAAGAGCCATTTAAACGATCTTCTTCTTTACCTTCCTTAGTAACACAATGGACTTGTGTTCGTTGTTTATTGAAAAATAATTGCAGTTTTGCATTAACATGTGCAGCTTGCGATGCTAACTTTTCATCATTTAAAACTGGCAAAAGGCAAATCGGAGCACGTAAAGGAAAAAAATTAAATTTGCATAAAATAAGTTGTGTTAAAGATGCATCCGAGTTTCTAACAAATATTTCAAATGGTTCTAATGCTACAAGTACTTCTACGAGTGATGCAAGGATTATTAGTAAGGGTATATACTATTTATGTTTGGAAACATTATAAATACTACCTACAGTCCTCGAGATATAACATTTAATCTATACTCCACAGATATGGCACAATTAACAAGTATAAGTCGTAATGAAAGAAGACAAATTGATAGAGAAAATTGGACGTTACCACCAATAGAGACTATGGATTCAACTACATTTTCTTACTCAAACACTAATGATAGCTCTGAACGTTCACCAAAAAGACATAGTCCCTCGATATATGAGCGTGTTAAATCTAAAGTTAGTCGCTCCTTATCTAATGGTTCTGTTGTGCATAAATTATCTGAACATGCTATACAAAGGCCAACAAGTCTAGTAGTCTCAGAAGCGAGACAAAATGATGCACTTTGGAGTTGCGATAACTGCACTCTTGATAATGCTCCTGGCTTAGAACAGTGTGAAGCATGTGAAGCTCCTAGAAGTCCAGCTCCTTGTAGCGGAGTAGTTATCAGTGTACCTGCTTGGGAACCTCGAGCTTTATCTTCAGCAGGTCCACTTTCTTATAGACGATCTTTTTCGGACATTGAATCTGTTACAAATGTATCTCAAAAAAAAGTTGCCAATAGAAGAAGTCTTAACGAAAATGAACCACCTGCAGTACCACCGCACTCCGTTGGTTTTAATATAAGACCAAAATATTCTTATATTGGAATTACTGATCCAGATATACCACCACCATTGCCAAAGAAACAAAACAATAAACTAGGTCTAGTGCCTATAAAAGCCCATAGCGAGGCAACAAGTCCTGTTGGAGATGTGTCAGATGTAAGTTCCTTGAAACGTATGTGGACTTGTCAAAAGTGTTCTTTCGCATGTAATCCACTCTGGTCAACTGGATGTGATATATGTGGATCTTTTCGATCACCTCCTTCATTAACACAACCTAATTTAATAACTGTTACAAAAGATGGAACAAGCTGTTCGATGCATACTCAATCCCCAATTGTAGTATCTAGAGATAGCGTCAGATATATCCCACAAAAAACTGCTACATTGGCTATAGCAGAGTCTGATTTAGATGACCAAGTTGATCCACCCTCTCCAGTATGGACCTGTAAAAAATGCACATTATTAAATGCTGCTTCAAGAACTACTTGTGAAGCGTGTGGTGGTTCGAAACTAAAAAGTATTATGCATTTAGAAGATGCTACATTACGGAAAGGAGAAAGCTGGGTGTGTCCGTCGTGTACATTAAGAAATCCATTGTCAGTGCAAACTTGTAATGCTTGTAAGACATTAGCAGATTTTCTAGACGTACCAAAAGATAGAGGTTTTGGATCAAGAAGTCCAAGTCCAAGACTCTGCCATTCTGCTATAAATTCAAAAGTTATTACACCAAGGCACAGAAATTCTGTAAGAAGGAATGGTTCTTCAGTTGGCGATAAAAGGCATACAAGATTAAAAGATACTGCTCATGGTCAAGTATGCTTCAGTCACAGCCACTTTACATATACCTTCATATTATTATTATTATTAATTACAGAATAAATGCATTCGCACATAGTACTGTCTAGTTTGTGTCTATTTTGTTTAATTCAACAAAAATAACATATGTCAATTATTTTAGTGGCAGTGTAAACTATGCACATATGAAAATAAAAGTACAAATGGAATATGTGAAATGTGCCAAATTTCAAAGACCTTATCCCAATTATCAGGTGATAAGCCTAGAATTATTGAATCTGGCACAAATACACTTACAATACAAAGACAGGAAAGTGTGGTAATGGAAAATTTAAGACAAATTGAAGAAAGAGAAGCATTAGAGAAGTGGGAGCGAATTGTCCGTTATTGTAAAGAGGTAATATCATTTAACTAATAATTGTATGCATGAGTTTTATAATTAGGATGTACATTATATACTTTTTGGAAGGAATAAAACAGTACAGAAAATTATTGTACATTATAATATGTAATGCTGTATACAAAACACGTAGCTGGATAATTGTATAAAAAATACTATTAAACTAAGTTGAACTGGTGTTGGACATTTAATATATCTTACCAGAAAGTAACATATTGAACTAAATTTCAACACTCTATTGTAACGAAAAAAGTAACAATAGGCGCGTCTAATTATTAAATTTTGTTGTATTTCTTCTTTTAAACACATATGAAAATTTTAAGAAGGATCTGGCACTTTGCATTTATTATTTATTATAATTCAATAGAATATATGTTAAATTATATATAAATGTAAAATAAAAATGTAAAACATGTTAAATATTTTATGAATATTTTAATCGACTTAAATATCATATTAACCAATTTACAGTTCATTGTATGTAAATACAAATTTTCTGTTACTAAACTGCTGATTTATATTTTATAGACAAATGAACCTTTCGTCGACGATTCATTTCCACCAGCTCCAAAATCTTTATATTATAATCCAGCTGAAACAAAGGATAATCATGTTGTTCAGTGGAGAAGGCCTCATCAAATCAATGTAGATTCTACCGTTGATTCGAAACTCCCTTGGGCTGTTTTTAGAACACCTTTACCTTCTGATATTTCACAAGGTGTATTAGGAAATTGTTGGTTACTTTCAGCTTTAGCTGTTTTAGCTGAAAGCGACGAACTTGTAAAGAGAGTTTTAGTAATGAGGGAAACTTGTCCTGAAGGAGCTTATCAAGTACGATTATGTAAAGATGGAAGATGGACCACTGTACTTGTCGATGATTTGCTTCCCTGTGATAAAAGAGGCCACTTAGTATATTCTCAGGTTTAAAGTTTTCTTTTATAGCTCTCGATACTTATTTAGGACCACAGATTTAATATTTTTATATGCAAATCAAATTAAATACATTGTAGGCAAAGAGAAAGCAATTGTGGGTGCCATTAATTGAAAAAGCAGTAGCAAAAATTCATGGTTGCTATGAAGCTTTAGTTTCTGGACGTGCTATAGAAGGTTTAGCGACACTTACAGGTGCCCCTTGTGAGAGTGTGCCTTTGCAACCATCTGCTTTGCCAAGTGAAGACGAACTTGATAAGGATTTAATATGGGCGCAACTTTTATCTTCTAGACAAGCTATGTTTTTAATGGGTGCTAGTTGCGGAGGTGGCAATATGAAAGTTGATGAAGAAGAATATCAACGTAAAGGCTTAAGACCAAGGTAAACTTAATGTGTTTTAGAAATTTAAATTAGATATATCTAATACTTTTAGATATGTAACACAGTATTTTTTAGGCATGCATATTCTGTTCTTGATGTGCGAGATGTGCAGGTAATAATGAAGAATGAGTATTTATCAAATTTGACAGCTATTGTTATAGTTATAAAGTATTAATTGTGATAAATCCATTTATAATTCAGATAGCTTAATTTGTTTAAATTAATCTTTTATTAAGACAATCTGGATTAAAATTGATTTATATTTTATCTAAAATGAATTGAGTTAAGGGGAATGCATAATGCAGTCAAAAAGAATATGATATATAAATTAACACTTTATTAACTGATATGGGTGTGATATTCACAATCAGTAAAGATGCGTTCTTACTTTCATCGTCTTTATCCAGCTTGTACTTATTACACATTTCCTCTTTTAAATCAATTGATGATGAAAGACCTATAAATACATATTTTGCATAGACTGTAACTTATAGGGAATACGATTGCTGAGGCTCCGAAATCCTTGGGGCCATTATAGTTGGAAAGGTGATTGGTCTGATGATAGTCCTATATGGACACCTCAGTTACGTGAAATGTTGATGCCACATGGTGCATCAGATGGCGTGTTTTGGATTTCATTCGATGATGTTTTAAAATATTTTGATTGCATTGATATTTGTAAAACTAGAGTTGGATGGAGTGAAGTTAGATTACGTGGTACCCTCCCTCCTTTGTCTTCTCTCAGACATTTATCTTGTGTACTTCTAACAGTGCTCGAACCTACCGAAACAGAATTCACTTTATTCCAAGAAGGTCAGAGGTATGCTTTATTTTATTATTTTAATGAATTGTTTATTAATTTATTGATATTTTATAGTATAACATAGTATGATGCAATGCCTGTATTTATATTATTCAGGAATTCTGAAAAATCACAACGTTCTCAGCTGGATTTATGTGTAGTTGTGTTTCGTACACATTCTCCAGCAGCACCAGAAGTCGGAAGGCTAGTAGAACATAGTAAACGACAAGTACGTGGATTTGTTGGATGTCACAAAATGCTAGAAAGAGATCTGTACATTGTTGTGTGTTTGGCTTTTAATCACTGGCACACTGGAATGGAAGATACTTCCAGTTATCCTGAATATGTTCTTGCCATTCATAGCTCAAAGAGACTTCTAGTTGAACAAATTTCTCCACCAGCATTTGTTTTAGCTGATGCTATCATTAGTTTAACTCTAGCAAAAGGACAGCGACATGAAGTGAGAGTTTTAAGACCTGCTTTAAATAATTGTTTTCTTTTTATAATTGTATAATTTAATGCATTTTTATATGCAGGGAAGAGAGGGAATGACTGCTTATTATTTAACTAAAGGTTGGGCTGGACTTGTAGTAATGGTAGAAAATCGTCATGTAAATAAGTGGATTCATGTAAAATGTGACTGCCATGAAAGCTATAATGTTGTGTCCACTAGAGGACAACTCAGAACTGCCGATAGTGTCCCCCCACTTCACAGGTGAAATATTATTTTTTTTCTATATCATATTATTTCTGAAAATTGCAAAATTATAAATTGTTAATGCAATAATTATAGACAAGTCATCATAGTCTTAACACAGTTGGAAGGTAGTGGAGGATTCTCAATAGCACATCGACTTACGCACAGGCTAGCTAACAGTGGAAATTTACATGATTGGGGTCCACCAGATACTCAGCATTGTCCTCAAATCGACACTCAAGTTGAAGGTTTACATAGTCCTCGTTTAATTACGTGAACAAACAAGTTTTACGTGTAGTTGAAAACAAATTGAACATTGTGCAAAAATAGTGTTTGTTAAGTAAGAGCGTTTATTGTATACTCGTGGTATTCAGAAATTTGCTAAAACCAAAGGAAGCTAGAAAGATTAGTACAACAGAAATCATATTGAAATCATAACACTCATGGTGCTTTCTAGCTGTTCATATTGTATGAAAACTTTGGCGTTATGACATGCTCACCAATGAACACAATACAATAATTAACAATTAATGTCTAATGATTCTAAGATCAATGGTT